TTTCATAAGACTTAATAAAGTTGATAAGTGTTTGCCAGATGAAGAAATATAGAGTATGAGTATGAGAAAGAGTAGATGCTGATTGGCAAATGTTATGGTATTTGAAGATTACTGATTGTGAGTCAGTAAATATGTGAACTAAGCAATGTCTAGAAGCAGTAATAATTGCTGAAAGAATAGCAAGAATTTCAGCTTTGAAGGAACATGGCCACAGTTTAACTTGTGCCTGAAATAAGTTAATAGTTGTAGAGTTATCAACTTGAACTCAACCTATGCCTATAGAGCACTGTGAGGTGCCAAGATCAATAACAGAACCATCAGTGTAGAATGAAATAGATGATAGATTGTGATTTGAGTTAGCAATAGTCTGGAGGTTATTTACAAGTTGACATGTTTCGAAGATAGAAGATAGTTGTTGTGAATTAATTGTAAGTGAGGGAAGAGGTGGAATATGTAAGGGATGTTAAAGTGCAACTGAGTATGCAATATCAAGAAAGTTTGCATGAAGGTTGAGAGTTTTTAATACATGATCTTTATGACATATATTTCTTAATATTATTAAATTTTTTAACTTAAAGATCAACTTTTACAAAGTTTAGGCTTATACAAATAATATCTTTAATAACATGACTGATTTTTTAGCAAATTAACATACTTTTTCTTTACTTTTAAACTTTTAATATACAAATATTTACAATTTTTTTCATATTTACAATAGAAACAAAATTTTATTAAGCTTTCTACTAGACAGTTCATCTAAATATTAGCAAAGTTCATATACTAACAATGTGATCTTTATAAAAAATAAACAATAAATAGACTTATATTAATCACTATATAGATTAACAATCTACATAGTTATATCTTAATTATAAAAAAACTTTTATTTAATTTTATTAGCTTTAAACTTAATTAATTCAAAACTTTTAAAATCAAAGCTATACTAAATGAATTACTAATATACTTTTCTCTTTACAATATCTGTTCAACTATTTTCATAAATGCTAATTGCTTTTAATATAATCTTTCTAATTTTTATTCATACTAGCTAACTTGCTTTAATTTTTTTCTTATAACAAACATTATTAACTTATTAATTCAGCATATTCTATCTAAAACAGATTTTAACTTATCTACTAGTCAGCTACATAAACTTATTTATAAAATTTAAAACTATCTTTTATTTAACTAAATATCATTTTAAGTAAATTTCTTTTATCTTGATCTTATTCTTAAAGGCATTATATCTAAAGCTTTAATTAAAACAATTTATAACTACAATATATTTACTAAAATAGTTACACAAAGTATTATTTAAATACTTCTAAATATTAATAATCAAATTTATAATTAAATGTAAAAACTTTATTGTATTAATTTCTTTAATTAAAAAAAATAATATTATTACATTTCTTTAAATTTTTAACAGTCATAATATCTTGTAATGTATACAACAAACTAAACATTACAAAAGATTATATACAAACTATTCATACTTATGTTTATATAGAATAGTAGATCAATTATATTTATTTTCTAAAACCTGTCTACTAATTGAACAGACTATTAGAAAAATTAATATATAATTAACACTCTAAATTAATTATAACGCATTTTATAATTATATTCTAACAATACAAATCTAAGTAGATCTTGAAGTTTAAATCATAAATAAAGTTGTTTAAGTTTTAATTCTTGCAAGGAATTTTTATTTTGCATTTTACAATCTTAGTATATCTTTAATATATAGTATATTAATATGTATAACTAAAATTACTAATAAAAATATGAATAAGACCTCATCTTAACACTAAAAAAACAACAAAAAAACAACAATTTATTTTATATAAAATTAAAAATATTGTTTTCTTGCTAAGTATAATATACAATGTTTTTTAAAATAGTTAACTGTCTTAAATAAATAGGTAAATTTATATTTTAATAATTTTACTATAATGCAAAAATCTTTAAACCATCAACTTTATTTAAAAGTGGCCACTTAAGACTAAATACTAAATTTTGATTAGTTAATATTTTAAAATTTTATTACGTTGTTAAAAATTTTATGAAATTTTTAAAATTCTATTATATTTTTTATATATATGTGATTAAATTTTTATTTTATTAATAATTTTCAAAAAGTAATAACATTATTAAAATTTATTAAATTAAAAAACAAATTTTATAACTTTGTTCTGCTTGCTTTTTTATATATTTTTATAAAAAAAAAAATTCTTGTAACTATATTTTTTATTTTTTTAAAAATTTTAAAAAATTATTAGTTTTTACTTGTTGATTTAAGATGTTCTGCACTGTAGTAATATATAATGTTTATTTGCTTCTAAGTAAAGCTTCCCAGTTTTAAAAATTATTTAAGATTATTTTGTATAGTAAATCTTTTAATGTGAATTTTATTAGTAAAACGTTGCATTTCTTGAAAAGTATTTTAAAAATGTATAAATATAAGTTACCCAAGCAATTGATTTACATCAGCCAATCAGACGAAAGTCTGCCTATAAAATATAACGTCCGGACCCTGTTAAAAAACGGATCCCTCATTATAACGGAGTGATTATTTATTTTAAAATTATTATTATTATTATACTATATAACGTGTAATCAGTAGTGTAACTTTCCACATTTCCGAAACTTACCGAGGCCAAATTTGTGTTGTCCGGCCCAAATTATACACTTAATTTTGCCCGAAGTGGTATTGTTACACCGCATTAAAAATTGCAAAAATTGCAAAAATATCGATTTACATACGTATAGTCACTGTCCCTGCCAGATCTACCACTAAATTTCAAATATGTAGGCAACGTAATTATTCGTTCTTGACCATTTCAAAATTCTAAATTTTCTTTCTATAAAAAAGTATGCAACCGTTCAACAAGTACTATCCACCAGACTGGGTCCCAGAAAAGGTACTTGATTAAATGTGAAATATAGTCTCAATCCAGATCGCGGTGATCTTACTTTTTATTTTTAGGGTTCAGTAAATAAATTTGTAGGAAAACACCCGCTTGGAGATAGAGCTCGTAAGATTAGTCAAGGAATTTTAATCGTCAGGTTTGGATCCCTTGAATAAGATTCACAATATTTATCACGATTCGATACAATAAATTGGAAAGCTTGTAACTTAAAAAGTTTTGGGCATTGATACAACCCCGTATCAATATGGTTAAAAACTCTAAGATTCGAACTACCTTTCAACATTTGGTGTGAAGGATGTGATAAGCATGTCGGAAAAGGTGAGAAGCTTCTATCTATTTATTATTCCAATTCTAATATTCTTAAAAAAAACGTTTTGAGAGTAACAACTTCTTATCTTTCTTTATCAGGGGTTCGATATAATGCCGAAAAGAAGAAAATTGGAAATTATTATAGTACACCAATATATAGCTTTCGAATGAAATGTCATCTGTGTGATAATTGGATTGAAATTCATACTGATCCAAAGGTTTGTCGACTTTTATGAATTCATTTATTTATTAATGAAATATGTATTAAAATTTCTCATATAAATATGTCTATAAATATAGAACGCAGAATATGTGGTTGTTAGCGGTGCTCGTCAAAAAATTGAAACATGGGAACCAGAAGATTCTGAAACTATTCAACTAAAAGGTATGACTTTATCGACTATTAAACTTATTAAATCTTGGATTAAGATTTTTTTTCCGGAATTTAGATGAGGAGGAAGCTAAAAAATTGGCCGACAACGCATTATATAAACTTGAACATTCTGTCAATGATGAAAGAAAATTTCAAGAATCTATTCCGATATTAACGCAACTTCAGGTGGAAATATCTAGTAAATTTTCTATATAAGAATGATTAAATTGTTAATGTAGTAATGAAAGTTTATTATTGTTTGAAGAGATTGAATGAAAGACAATGGGCCGACCCGTACACGCATTCTCAAAAAATGCGAAAAAAATTTAGGGTAATCTTTTCTTCAATTGTACCAATTTGGTCAAGAATCGATTTAAACATATTTACTATTTTAATTAGGAGGAAAAAAAAGAGCTGGAAGCTAAAAAACGGTTAGATGATGAAATACGCAATCGGAATTCACTATCAATTCCATTGTTGCCCGAATCTTCTGAAGACATTATGGAAGCAAAATCAACAGAATTTACAGGTATTTTATTGTAATGTAAAATAAATATAATAAAACAAATATTTCTTTTAAATACGTTGACTAATATCGTTTAGATCATCTTCTTGAACAAGCTCAAAAACGCAAGCTTGAAGTAAACACCTCCTCAATATTTAATAAGCCATTACCAAAAACCAAAAAATCCAGATTTCATGCTAATAGATCCAAAAACAAAGTAGCACAACTATCAAATATCGTTTCCGTGAATACTAAACTTAAAACAGATCCGTTTCTCAAAGATAACGACTGGAATGGTGGTGGTGGTACCGCAATTGGTAAAAGTGGTGAAATCAATAGTGATTTAATTCTCATAAAGAAAAAAAATGTAGGTAAACATAACGGAAATCAAGAGATAGATCAAGAAACTGTAAAAAGTCAAGGTATTATGCGCTTCTAATTTTTAACTTTTGGATATTTTATCATATTCTCATAATTTATCTATTTCGTTCAGGTGTTAGTGTACACACCATATCTTTAGTAAGCGCTGATTATGACGATGAGGATTAAAATTATTATTTAATGATGTAAAGAGTTGCATTCTCTAGTTAATGTAATTATTAGTTTTGTATTATAATTATTAAATATATATATTAAATATATAATTGAAATTATCACGTATTTATTATAAGAATGAGCTCATTGTAAATAACAATAGTTTCATGATATATAGGAATAATTCTAAGAAGGTGGTGGACCAGGTCTATAAAAAGGTTTCCCTGCTTTATGACTATCGAAAGCACATTGATATTAAATAAATTGTTCAATACAAATATAATGCAATTGTTTCTTAAAGCATAATTAATACATACAGTTGCCACCATGCACCTTAAAAAAAACATTACATAAATAAGAATGACGCGAGACAGCTGAATAAAGTTTTTTTTTGCATACAATAATTCTTACCAATGAATGGGATAGAAAAACCAGAAGCAAGAAATAATGTCATCCCCACAAAAAGACTGGCTTTATTCTTCGTACTAAAAGGAAGATGCTAATAATGAAATCATAAGAATTTTAATTGCTTTAACAGTTCTGCAAAAAAAGGTGATTGTGATCATAAAAACGTACCGAGCCGTCCTCATTTTCCCAGTGGTAATAACCGCTGCGCATTGGGCGAGCTACGGCTCGGGAACGAACAGCAGAACGAGAAAAAACGGATGAATACATTGAAATCGAATGAACAAGACAGCAAAGATTAAAAAAATTTTATTCCATATATTGTATTACGATTTTTATCGGACCAATCAACTGTGTATTTGTGCGTCAACCTATTTTCATACTTTTATTAAAAAAATTGTCAATGGAATTAATAAAATTTTTTTTATCAATTTTGAACAGCAGATAATTGTTAAAGATTCTTTAAAAACACTAAATAGATATTCTGCCATTTTAATTTGAACACTTTCACTAAACCGCACTTATACGTTGTGTTTTAAATCTACGCATATATTACTTAACAACTGGTTAATTAATTGATACAAAGTGGATACAAAGTGTTCAAACTTTAACTTTTAATAAAAACTTAGAAATTTTAAAATATACAAAAACATAATAAGTTCCAAACTATCATAGATAATAGGTTTAAAAAAACAATTATTAGTTGTCTTGTTATCTCTGATCTACAAATTTATATACTTAAAATTTTTTTTTTTAATAGTCTTGTTATAACCTTTATTAAGATTGTTTTTTTAACTTAAGTAGTCATGTTAGTACTTTATTAAGATTCTTGAAACTACTTTTGTGATTATATAGAGATACCTAACAACTAAGTTTAGCATTACTTGGTCATCCTAATGATGTTAAATGTAACTTGTTATACTACTTTATTAAATACTTAAAGTTCATAATAAAAGAATTTTCTTTTTTTTTATAATAAGTCTTAACATTGTCTTTCTAGTTTTTTTTTTAATTCATTTTTTTTTTCTTTTGTTTGTTTCTTTTTCTTTTATATTTCTTATTGATTTATTTATTTTTTTTTTTCTTTTAATTTTTTTTTTTTGTATTTTTTTTATTTTGTTTTTTTATTTATTTATTTTTTTATATTATATTTTTTAAATTTGTTTATAAAAAGTATTTCAAGTTGTTTTTATTACTATATTTGCAAATTGTTATCTTAATTTTATGCTTAAAAGCTGCAATAGTCTTTCTTGTATTTTTCTTAGAATTAGGTTTTTAATTAATATTTTTTTCATTTCTATTTTTTCTATTTTTATTTTTCTAAAAAGTGTTATATATAGCACATATAAAAGAATTTAAATATTTTTTTTTTAAGATCTTTTTATTTTATTATTATAGTTATCTTTTAAAATTTTTTCTACAAATTTATTTGTTCATTGCATAATACTAAATATGTTTGTGTCTCTTTTATATTTAATATTCTATTGTTGTATATATATTTAATTTTTTTTATTAAGTTTTTTTAAGATTAGAAGTTTATCTATTATATATTTTATAAATATATTTCTTTTTGCATTACTTTTTTTTATTATACAATATATTTTTTTAGTTATTTTAATCTTTTTAAAAATATTGTTACAAGATTGCATGTCTTTTTAATACAATACAATCAAGCAACAAGGTTATCTGATATGATAATTGACTATTACAAATATATATAAAGTGAAAATATAGTAGTTTACTTTACTACACAACAGTAGACAAACAGTTTGAAATAGTAATAATATATAAATTAACTTTATTAAAAACAAATATACAGTAACAACCTTGTTTATAAAAATTATTCTAAAGAGAAAATATTACTTTTATAAGTTAGGAATAAAGGTAAGAAGATCTAGATCAAAATATAAAAACTTAGAATTAATAAAAAAAAAGATACTTTTTATATATCTTTTTATTTAGTAAGGATAATAGGAATTTAAGCAATATTACTTAATACTATACTTGAAATAGTAGAAGTTTAAATAATATTAAATGATATTGTACTTGGAATAATAAGAATTGTGTAGAAATAACTAGAAATATTATTTATATTATTTGTTATTTATACTTAAAATACTTGAAGTTTGTGTTTAGATACTTGGATCTGTATAAAAATACTTGGGATTTGTGTAAGAATACTTGAAGTTCATGTAAAAATACTTGGAGTTTATGTTAAAAATACTTAGGATTCTTATATTATGATACTTAGTACAATAATTTGATGCTAAAATACATGAAACTTATATAAAAATACTTGGAGTTTGTAAGATGATAGTAATATTACAGATGTTACTTAGTATCATGTAACTATACTACATTTTTAATAGCTAATTAAGATTCTTTTATCTATTTACTATACGTATATAATATAACTATCAGCTAACTAATAACTAATAACTAATAATAAATATATTATATATAAAATACAATAATGAATATTTTTTTTTTCTTAAGTGGTCATACTGGTGCTTTATTAAAATTTTGAAATTACATTTGCAATTATATAAATATTCTTAACAACTAAGCTTAGCATCATCCAGCTACCCTAACAGTAACTATATGCAACCTGTTGCATTACTTCAAGTAGAAGTAAGCTACTCATTTGACTACTTAAAGTCCATAATGAAAAGAACTTTTTTCTTTTATAATAAGCTCTAAAATTGTTTTCTGTACTTTTTTTTCGATTTGTTTTTCTTTTTTTTTACTTTCTTTTTTCTTTCTTCTATTACCTGCTGATTTGGTTTTTCTTTTTTACTTGGTACTTTTCTCTCTTTTTCTTTTCTTCTTTTTATCTTATTTGTTATTCCTTTATTTTTTTCCTATTTATTGATCTTGTCATATCAGATTCTTTATACTTGTTCATAAAATATGTCTCAGGCTGTTTTTGCTATTATCTTTATAAACTGTATCTTGTTTTTGTACTTAGGAGCTGCTTCAATCTGTTCTGTATTTTTTTTAAAATAAAACCTTTAATTAATGCTTTTTTTATTTTAATTTTCTCTGCTTCTGTTTTTCCAAAGAGCACTGTATATAATACATATGGAGAATCTGAACTTTTTCTTCTTTCTTTAACCCTTTCAAACTGTTGTGATGGTCATTTTTTGGATTTTTTTTCACAGATTTCTTTGTTTCTTACATGCTGCTAAATATGCCTGTGTTTCTTTTGTTTTATCTTAGCACATTTGGCACTTCATTGTTATATATACCTCTGGTCTTTTTTTGTTTAGTTCTTTTAGGATTAGAAGTTTATCTATTATGCATTTTATAAATATACTCCTTTTGACATTACTTCTTCTTATTATATAGTATACTTCTTTAGATATCTTCAGTCTATTCCAAAAATATGTCCAATCATAAATTGTAACTTCTGTTTCTAGTTCTAATTCTTTAATTGCTTTTATTTCTTTTCATTCTATTCCTAATTTTGCATTTGTTATTAATTTGCATAGCAGTCTTGTTGATATATCAGTACATTTGTTTTTCTACTTTAAACAGTACTCTATCTTTTTACAACTAACTTTTTCAACCTGTATTATTTTTTTACTTATTACACCTTTTTTTGTTAGACTATTAGCTTTATCATTTCATCTATCTTTACTGTGACTCTTAACTTTAACCAACTCTATTTGAATGTTTTTTGTTCTAATAAGCTCTTTAATTTTCATTATCTATATTGCATTCTTCTTTTTAAGGATCTTATTTTTGCATACTTGTTCTAAACCTCTACTAATGTTTCTTATTGCCATACTGCTATCTATATATATTTCTATTTGCTTTTCTCTTGGTATCATTAAAATTGCAACTCATATTGCTACTAACTCAGCTATTGTCAATGTTTGTCATCCTTCTAAACCTAATACTACCTCTTTTTCTGGCTATTCTTAAGTTTCATCTGTTTGCATCTACCCTATACCTATATTAGTTTTGCTTTTTGTGTCTTCTTTAGTCTTTAGATTTGCTGCTCTGTCTGTATATATTATATATTTGTTCTTGTTTCTTGTTATATTTCTTCTTAAAATTTCTACTATTTTTTAACTAATGCTGTCTTTTAACTTTTGTCATCTGACTATCTCTACTTCTGACTTTTTTATTATTCTTAGTTCTTCGAGTTTCTGTTTTTCTGTCACTGGTTTGTTTGTTTTTATCATTTCTGCTATTTGATCTATTGATATCTTAATTTTGTTGCTGCTTTTTTTTATTAATGCATCTGGAATCATATTGATTCTGTTATTTATTTTTATTTACTGTTGGCAGCTATCTTCTTGGTGTTCTTCTTTTCTTATACAACCCTTATATCTGTTAATTTTGATAGCTAATTTATTTTTTTTACTTTGTATTTGCCAATGTTATACTGTATTTTTTTCTTGACTATCTTTCCTAATTGTTGATTGTTCTGTGCACTATATGTTACTCATTCTTTTCTTTTTTTGTCTTCTGAAATATACTCTCATCTCATTTGCATTGCTTGAGTGTTTTGTCTAATTATTCTAAATTGCTTTTTAACTTCTTTATTTTCTGGTCTAATAAGCACTTTAGTTTTATTGTTTTGAACCATTCTGCTTTTTTTC